TAATATGTAGGGTGGACAGGAATTAGACCTATTTTGACGGAGGGGAAAAGAAAGTGAATCTGTATGATTAGCAAGTACGCCATGTAACTGTGCATTCATATATTTTCAAGCATTCTGGCCTGATAAGAAATGACAACGAGAACACTACTGCTGTCGGTTCGCTGCCATATCCTTCAGTGTCTCCAACCAACCAGTTGCAGAGTCTTTTGAACCTAATGGCTCCGTGCATTTTTTCATACCTCGTCTCCACATTACCTGAGCTGAAACCTTTGACAGATAGGAGGTTCTCCAGTTATAACTTTAGACCCAAAGGATTCCAGTTAAATATGAACAGAACTTACACTCAAACGAAGTTGTCACGTTGATAAGCCTGTTTCAATGAGCTAATTGTAACCGGATACGTTATACTATAACCAAAACTATCACAAAAAATTGCAACGGTATCGTTGAACTGTGGATCTGATAGCTCACACGAGCCCATTCCATTCAGAACTCATGCAGTCTGTTGGCCGACCTAGGTTAATTCGGGTAATCGTGCCCATTTGATAGATAGCATATGCGCACACAGACGATCTGTCAGCCATGTTTGTGATTTCATCACTGTGTGATTGTGATAATCAACATTTAAGCAGAAGATGAAAGCTTACCATAAAATGACTTCATAGGATGCTTGGAATAGTCTGTGAATCGATGGTTCATCGATATGCCTAAACGAATCGATCTCATATTTGGGATACATCTAAATTCACTTGTGCCACCACTAGAACAGTGGTTGTTCCTGTGTGTTGTCGTTCTGTGCCGCCCCGTGCCTTCTTGATTTATTTGAATTTTGGCTGTATAAAATGGAACCAATTTGGGATACACATTTTGTTACCAGTAACCTGCAATGAATGGGATTGTGCATGAACTACTGAGGCATCCAAAGAAACTTGAGCACCGAGTTATTTGTGATATTTCGTCTCCCGCTGCCTAAATTCCAGGTAGTTAATTTAGTTTGATTTCATCCTTTCGAAATTTTACTCGCCAGATCCAAATGCCGGCGACGCGAATTCACAAGATCTCGGTGCCTCAACCGAGAAAGGACTGAATACGTCCGGGGCAACAGATAACTATCGTCCATTAACCACGCGTGAAGAGGAAGATATTCGCTTATTTTTGGACGAATTGAACATCGAGTCGGTGCAACACAGTGCTGCCGAACTCACCGAAATACTGTCCACACAATTGGCAGATGTAGAAGGAGTAAGTAGCTGGTTGGTGGAGTAATCTTTCCATCCTTGTTTTGTACTTCGCTTACTGTGAACACTCCCACTTAACATGTTCATTTGTCAGTTTTTCAAACATGTTTCTACTTTTCCAATCTTGGTCGTTACTTACCCAGCATCTACCTCGGTGAAAAGTCAGTCAACTTCGAAACATATCAAATATGAGTTGTGTTTGAGTTTGGAATCTGGGTTCCGGTATACATCACTGGAGCAAGTGACCATTGTAATAGCTGTTATTCGCAGTTAACCAGAAGTCTGAGGATTAAACCATGGAGCGCTTTTATATGGAATAAGCGAACTGTCGAACCCCATTCACATAAACTGTGGATAAGAAAAACACCTTACCTATTTTGAACTGGGACAATCGATCGATCCCTGGATCACACGTGTAAGACAAAGCAAACGAACTGAGAGCATGAGAACCGTTGAGTACTTATCATTCCGTCAAACCTTGGACTTTTATGAATTGGTTTAGATTGTGCTCTCTATCGGTTACCCGTTCGGAGTAAAAAATGTACCCGAATGAAGAAACATTTCGGGCGGAGAAGGTAAGTAAGCAAGCAGACGCCACCATTTACAACGCTTATTTTAGACTGGTCACGATGTCCCCAACCAGGAAGCTTCGGGCTATCCATATGATCACGTTTTGTAGTTATGGTTTCCACATACTGACCACACTTTCAACTTCGGTGAACATCGTACCCCACGGAAGCCTATCCGGCAACATGTCCCAGACATCACAATAAACAACAGTAATGATCTTCCTACTTATTTTGTGGAACACAAGTATAAAGCTGATAGGACGGGATGGGCTGCAGCCATTAAGACGTTGCCTATGGACAGAAGGGAAACTGTGCGGCTCTGGTGGGATAAATTGATGGTCCTAATCGCGTAACCGCTCCCCCCTCCCATGTGGGTTAAGCGCGGAAACAAGTTAGCGACCATCGAAGCTGGGTGATGTTCATCCAGTTGTGCCATCATACTCGTGCAATGTGGCGCACACAGTTTTGTTCAAACCCCGATAATCTGTTTTAAACTTTGCGAGTATGTCTGTGTAGTCTACAGTAAAACCGATCGGACACACGCGATCCTTCACAGGTAACCGACTATAAATAATCTTACTTAGGATCTTACCAGTTGTTCCCTGTCCACGATGACCTGGCAAACATTAGCGATGTGTGCAGACACTCTTGATCGAGTAATTGAACGGATGTACATGGCACAATCAGGCTAGTTTTTTGACCTGGTTTTGTGTCTTAATAGTATCTTTTTTTCACTCCGTTTCCCACCTTCTGTTTCTCCTCATTCGTACAGACCAATATTCACTCGATCATGGCGTCCGAGTCGCAAGTTTTGCAACTGATGGCCTCGATCGATGTGGCCATTACGCATGCGCAACAGCTGGAGCAACAACTGGACGTCTATCATCAATTTTTGGCGGTAATTTTCCCCGAATGAATGTTTGACTTATTTCGATGGGCTTGGCTTTAATTGACCGCTGGATGTTTCTGTTTAATGTCTAACCATCGATTAAAGTGATATCTTCGGGGCCTCAGTCGGGAAGCCTAGTACGATTTATATCCGTAATCCGGAACAGAGCTTTCTTTTTATCATGCCAGGTCCTTAATTTAAACATCCTTGACCGTCTTCCAACTACCATCTGCCAGCGGTG